ACGATCGAACCCAAACTAAAATGTCCAAAAACTGAGAAATTAAAAATTTGAAAAATTGAGGAATCGAAAAATCAAAAAAGTGAAGTTGAAAAACCGAAATCTGAAAAAATAGAAAAATTGAAAAACCAAAAAAACCTGAAAAATCAAGTAATTGAAAAATCGAGAAATAAAGAGTTTTATGCCACAATTTTTCGTTTTTCATTTCCTTTATTTTTTTATTGGAGTTTGTAGTTTGCCGTTCAATCAAGTTTTCAAATTTTCAATCTTGATTTTTCAATTCCTCGATTTTCTAACTTTTAAATTTTCCAGAAAAATTTGAAAAGCTAAAAATTGTAGAATCGGAAATTATAGACTCGTCAAAATTGTAAAGTCAAAAAACTAATACTGCAAGATCGAAAAATTTAAATACTAAATATCGAGAAATCGATTAATTAAAAATAAAAAAAAAATTGTAATATCATAAGACTGAAAAAAGTATTTTTTTTTTTTAATTATATTTAATTAAAATAGCAAATCTGAAACTTGAAGAAACAAATGAAAAATTGAAAACTCACAAAGCGAAAAATTGAAGAATCGAAAAATCGAAAAAACAAAAAATTATAAAATCCAAATATTGAAAAATAGATCAATTCAAAAAAAGATTGACAACAATCTAACAGAGTCGTAATTTTCCGCTAATTTAAGTGGCGCAGTCGGTGGGATTCTATACAGCTTATTTTCTCTTTAGATTAAGGCTTCAGTTAATTACAAAACGATGTGTTGATAACTTAATAACAACTTTATTGACAAAAAAATCGATTTTGGAAAGATTCCAATATCTGACGATCGTTGTCCCGAGTAGGAAGGTTGACGAATTTCGTGTCGGAACGACGTTACTGGCGAGAAAGGGGTGAACGAGGCACTGAAGAAGTGTCGTGATGTGTCGCACTTTGTTAAGGGTTCTTCAGGGGATGATGGTCTTTGTAAAGGAAATATCACCCTGAGAACACGGGTTTTGGCCATTTGGAAATACTTTATTGAAATATCTTTAACGTGGATGAATTTTATGAAGTTGGAAGGGGGAAAAAACCTTTAATGTGGCGACAGTTTAGAATGCCATGAACTTTTGTTATCGAAATGTCTGACTGCATTATTTGTGACGCTTGTAGGTTTATTTTACGTTGAGTCATTGTTGCACCTATACCGGGTGATTCACGAGTAGTAATGACACCGACAGCAACCTTTGACCTGTCTGGTTCATTTTATTTACCAAGAAAAGAACCTTAAACAGGTACAAGAAAAACAAATTCATCACAAAAACTGTCAAAATTTCTGAATGAAAATTAATTCGATTCTTGTGTTTGTTGTCAGCGAAGTCAGCCAGACGAAGCTTATTTTAGGCTCCTCAATAACAATAACAACAATATTGTTAAAAATGGGTACATAACAAATCGCTGACCCGCGAAGGTCAGATTCCCAACTCACTTGTCCCATTCCCCGTACCATAATTAATAACAACCCATAAATCATTCATAAACATCGCATCCAATTTCCGAACCCATATTAATCCGTGACCCCGTCCCGACCATCGCACAATTGAAAATATATGCAAAAGAGCTTTAAATTATGCAAATCGCGTTATCGCTGAATAATTAACACGTCACGCCTTATTCCATTATCTAACATTAGCGACAAGTGTAGTTTGCATAATGGCCACCCTTTTTCAAGCGACATTCATCCCTAATATACATATACATATTCGCGTCGGAGTAACGAAACTGTTGCGATATCACGTGTCACGTCTTTATGAACACGCTTTGACACTTGTGTACGTGATATACTGTCCAACAGATGTTTTAGCGAGGATTAATCAAAAGGGATAATTAATTCGGAAATCGCTGGAATTTGCATAAGGGGGCGATACACCTGCTGGCGCGAGCATGGAGGGATTGAGCTAGAAACGACGTCGTTTACAGAAAAAAAGGCACAAAATTTCGATTTTGCATGTTTAAAAAAATCTTCAAAAAACAGCATACAACACAAATCGGCTACAGTCTAAATTAATAACAGCAATAATCAGTATTCCACGCTTCGCGCGCCGTAGTATTGTATCCCTTAAAAGCAACAATGTGTGTTATTACGGCCGTAAAAAATACATAAACAAACCACAATACGAACTTGAACCGTGCTAAACCTGGAGGAGATACATATTTGCGGTTCGTACGGAATAATTCAATCTGAATACGCAGCGGACAATCATCGCCGTTGCGGTCGAGAAAAATATTAAATAAAGTACGGCTCGGACGGTAGAAAGTCGACAAAAACGTTAATGCGGGCAGAACGTGAAACAATAAACTCGCCACGATTGATTTATTTTAAACAAAGAATGACCACTCGACCGTTAATCATATTTCGGATGGGGATTTTTTAGCGGATTCTTCAATAACGGCGGGATGGGGGTCAGGGGTTTGTTTGTCTTTCTGGGTTTGGACTATTGTAATTAAGGTGGACTGCATCTGAATGGGTCATAAAACTGTCGGAAGTTGATATTGAAGAGATTTAGATTTACACTAGTTTCATTTTTCAGTGTGTTATTAATAATGATTCCATTTTATTATTTTTTTGTTTTTCCATGATATCGACATAAGTTATTGTGTTTCATTAACTGATATTATAGTTATAGGTTACACTTTGTACTTAGTTGTACTGGGACAAGAAACGAAGGACAAAAGGCAACGGACAAAGGAGAAAAACAAAAGGCAAATAACAAAGAATAACCATCAAAGAATAAAGTTTCTCCTATATTCTCTTTTTCCATGTTTCGAAATCGTCCAACACATGTTGATTTTACTTCTAATTAATTAATACATTTTTGTGGAATATTTATATTTATAAAAGAAGAGAAGCCTGGTGTTGCTTTTATCTTGGCATTAAAAAAAGAAGACAACAAGGAACAAAGAACAGAGGATAGAGAACGAAAGACATAGGACGATAGAGAGCAGAGAAATATAAAAGACAACAGAAGACAGTCAACAAAAACAAAGGACAGGACGGCTACGTGCGAAGAACACAGGACTGTATTTATTGTCCTTACTTCATATTTCGTCCTTCGTCCTTCGTCCTTTTCGTCCTTCGTCCTTTTTGTCCTTCGTCTTTGGTCCTTCTCGTCCTTCGTCCTTTTCCTCATTATCATCATTTTGTATTTCATTCTTTTGTTCCTTCATCTTTTTGACCTTCATCCTTTTGTCCATCTTTCGTCCTTTATCCTTCATCTTTGAACTTTCATCCTTCATTCTTCGTCATTCATCCTTAATCCTTCATCCTTCGCCCTTCAGCTTTTGTCCTTTATCCTTCGTTCTTCATCGTTTGTTCTTCATCCTTCGTCCTTCGGTTGAGGGACAGAAAGATTGACGAAAGATGAAGGAGAGAAGGATGAAGAACAGAAGGATGAAAAACAGGAGGTTGAAGGATAGAATGATGAAAGACAAAAGGATGAAGGACAATAGGATGACAGTCGTAACAGTGCAGGACAAAAGGATGAAGGATAAAATAATGAAGGGCAAAAGAATGAAGGACCAAAGGGCTACTAAGAACAAAAGGATGAAGGACAAAATGATGACGGGCAAAAGGATGAAAGATAAAAGAATGAAGGACAAAAAGATGCAGGACAAAAAAATGAAGGACAAAATCCTTCGTCCTTTTCATCCTTCGTCCTTCGTCCTTCTCGTCCTTCGTCCTTTTCGTTCTTCGTCCTTTTCATCCTTCGTCTTTGGTTTTTTCGTCCTTCATCCTTTTCCACTTTGGCCTTTTTTGTCCTTCGTCCTATTCGCCCTTCGTCCTTTTTGTCCTTCGTTCTTTTCATCCTTTTCTTCCTTCGTCCTTTTCGTCCTTTCCGCCTTTCGTCCTTTTCGTCCATCGTCTTTTTCGTCCTTCGTCCTTTTTGTTCTTCGTCCTTCTCGTCATTCGTCCTTTTCGTCCTTCGTTCTTCGTCCTTTTCGTCCTTCGTCCTTTTCGTCCCTGGTCCTTTTATCTTTCGTTCTGTAAGTCCTTCGTCCTTTTCTTCCTTCGTCCTTTTCGTCCATCGTCCTTTTATCTCTCGTTCTGTTAGTCCTTCGTCCTTTTTGTCCTTTTCTTCCTTTGTCCTTCACGTCCTTAATCCTTTTCGATCTTCGTCGTTTTATCCTTCGTCCTTCGTCCTTTTCGTCCTTCGTCCTTTTCGTTCCTCGTCCTTTTCGTCCTGCGTCCTTTTCGTCCTTCGACCTTTTCGTCTTTCGTCCTTCGTCCTGTTCATCCTCCGTCCTTTTCGTCCTTCGTTCTTTCCGTCCTTCGTCTTTTTTGTCCTTCGTTCTTCGTCCTTTTCGTCCTTGCTCCTTTTCGCTTCTCGTCCTTTTATCTTTCTTTCTGTAAGTCCTTCGTCCTTTTCGTCCTTTTCCGCCTTCGTCCATTTTGTCTCTCGTCCTTTCATCTTTCATTCTGTAAGTCCTTCGTCGTTTTCGTCCTTTGCGTCCTTTTCGTCCTTTTCGTCCTTCGTCCTTTTGGTCCATCGCCCTTTTCGTCCTTCGTCTTTTTCGTTCTTCGTCCTTTTCGTCCTTCGTCCTTTTCGTCCTTCGTCCTTTTCGTTCTTCGTTCTTTTCGTCCTTCGTCCTTTTCGTCCTTCGTCCTTTTCGTCCTTCGACTTTTTTGTCCATCGTCCTTTTCGTCTTTCGTCTTTTTCGTCCTCCGACCTTTTCGTCTTTCGTCCTTCGTCCTGTTCGTCCTCCGTCCTTTTCGTCCTTCGTCCTTTTCGTCCTTCGTCTTTTTTGTCCTTCGTTCTTCGTCCTTTTCGTCCTTCCTCCTTTTCGTCCCTCATCCTTTTATCTTTCATTCTGTAAGTCCTTCGTCGTTTTCGTCCTTTGTCCTTTTCGACCTTCGCCGTTTTATCCTTCGCCCTTTTCGTCATTCGTCCTTTTCGTCCTTCCTCTTTTTCGTCCTTTTCGTCCATCGTCTTTTTCGTCCTTCGTCCTTTTTGTCCTTCGTTCTTTTCATCCTTCGTTCTTTTCATCCGTCTTTCTTCGTCCTTTTCGTCCGTTGTCCTTGGTTCTTAGTCCTTCGTCTTTCGTCCTTAGTCCTTCGTCTTTCGTCCTTCCACCTTTTCGTCCATTGCGTCCTTTTCGTCCTTCGTACTTTTCGTCCATCCTCCTTTTCGTCCTTCGTCTTTTTCGTCCTTCGTCGTTTTTGTCCTTCGTTCTTCGTCCTTTTCGTCCTTCGTCCTTTACGTTCCTCGTCCTTTTATCTTTCGTTCTGTAAGCCCTTCGTCCTTTTCGTTCTTTTCCGCCTTCGTCCATTTTGTCCCTCGTCCTTTTATCTTTCATTCTGTAAGTCCTTCGTCCTTTTCGTTCTTCGTCCTTTTCGTCCTTCGTCCTTTTCGTTCTTTGTGATTCGTTCTTAATCCTTCGTCCTTCGTCCTTCCTCCTTTTCGTCCTTCGTCCTTGGTCCTTTCTTTCCTTCCTCCTTTTCGTCCTTCGTCTTTGGTCCTTTCTTTCCATCGTCCTTTTCGTCCTTTGTCCCTATCGTCCTTCGGTCTTTTCGTTCTTCGCGTCCCGTTCGTACTTTTCGTCCTTCGTCTTTTTCGTCCTTCGTCCTTTTCGTCCTTTGTCCTTGGTCCTTTTCGTCCTTCGTCCTTTTTGTCCTTCGTCCTTTTCGTCCTTCGTTTTTCGTCCTTTTCGTCCTTCGTTTTTCGTCCTCTTCATCCTTCGTCCTTTCCGTCCCTCGTCCTTGTATGTTTCGTTCTGTAAGTCCTTCGTCCTTTTCGCCCTTTTCTTCCTTCGACCATTTCGTCCCTTGTCCTTTTATCGTCCGTTCTGTAAGTTCTTCGTCCTTTTCGACCTTTTATTCCTTCGTCCTTTTCGTACTTCGCCCTTTTTGTTCTTTTTGTCCGTTGTCCTTCACGTCCTACGTCCTTTTCGTCCTTCGTCCTTTTCGTCCTTCGTCCTTTTCGTTCTTCGTCCTTTTCGTTCTTCGTCCTTTTCGTCCTTCGTCCTTTTCGTCCTTCGTACTTCGTCCTTTTCGTCCGTTGTCCTTTTCGTCCTTCGTTCTTTTCGCTCTTCGTCCTTTTCGTCCGTCGTCCTTTTCGTCCATCGTCCTTTTGTCCTTCGTCCTTTTCGTCCTTTGTCCTTTGTTCTTCGTCCTTTTCGTCCTTCGTCCTTTTCGTCCTTGGTCCTTTTCGTCCTTCGTCCTTTTCGTCCTTCGTCCTTGGTCCTTTTCGTCCTTCGTCCTTTTCGTCCTTCGTACTTTAGTCCTTCGTTCCTTCGCTTTTCGTCCGTCATCCTTCTGTCCTTCATCCTCCTATTCTTCATCCTCGTGTTCTTCATCCTTGTGTTCTTCATTCCTGTATCCTTCATCCCAGAAGGATGATGGACAGAAGGATGAAAGACAGAAAGATGAAGGACAAGAGGATGAAGGATAAAAGAATGAAGGACAAAAGGATGGTTGACAAAAGGATGAAAGTCAAAAAGATGAAGGAACAAAAAGATAAAATTCAAAATGATGAAAATCAAATTGATGAAGGTCAAAAGGATGAGAGACAAATGGATGAAAGACAAGAGACGAAGGGCGAAGAATAAAAGACGAAGGATAAAAGATGAGGTACGAAGGATGAAAGATGAAGAATCAGGGACGAAGGATGAAGGATGAAAGATGAAGTTCGAAGGATGAGAGACGAAGAATCAAGTTCAAAAAATAATGGACGAAGGATCACGGACGAAAGATCAAGGACGAGCGTTAAAGAAGGACGATGGACGAACTACGAAGGATGTAGAATGAAGGATAAAGGACGAAGAGTAAAAGACGAAGGATGAAGGACGAAGGTCTGAGGACCAAAGACTTAGGACGAAGGATGAAGAGGTGAGGACGAAAGATTAAGGACGAAGGGTATAAGACGAAGGATAGAGGACGAAGGGTGAAGGACAAAGCATGAAAAACGAAGGACAAAGTAGGAAGAATAAAACTTGAAGAATAAAGGATGGACGATAAAGGATCGAACACAAAGGATGTAGGATAAAGGATAAAGGACGAAGGATAAATAGTAAAGAATAAAAGGAACAAATTGCAGTGTTCGAGAACAAATCTAGAAGCGGTGACAGAGACCTTAGAGTAGGACCGCGCAGCTGTTTAAATGGAAACAGACAATGGGAGAAGTCTAGTCAAATCCATTCCAGTCGAGTCGGAATTACTCTGTACATAATCGCTGTATAGTTAGCCGTCTAAATTGGAGTTATTAAGAAATAAAATTGTTGAGTTTTACCCACGCCGAATTTAAATACCCGTTCAACGTGACAATATTCAATTTTTCGTTGTATTTTTTCATTCGCAGATGCATCTTTTTATTAAAATTTTTTGTTGTCTCAGGCACTGACAGACAAACCGTTTTGTTAATGAATCAGTTTATCCAACGTGTAGAAAAAATTGCATGGCTCACTGTTGTCTAAAAACTTCCTGAACAGTTTATATCTACTACATTTTATTTATGTACAGATGTTATCACAAATAACCGCTCCCAAAATAATTTTTTTTTAATTTTTCGAATTGCCTTCGACCAATTTTTTTCATTATATTGCCAAATGAATGGAAAACATTAAAAACTTCGGTTGGTTGTTTCGAGTACTTCTTAATTCATTAGTCATTATTAGAGAGCGGATTTCTAGGTTTAATGCTTTTTGTGAAAAATGTAAGCACTTCAAAACTTTTTTATATCTGTAACTATGATACAATTTGGAGTCATTTGACACATTTTTTTTATGCTTATTTGTTTTTTTTTCAATTTTATGCATATTAAACCTTATATGCAGGTTTCGGTGTTCTTTTTTTTTTAAACACATTTTAAATGATCGGCGAAAAAATTTTACAGTGGACAACTTGGAACATATTACAATCATAAATTGTTTTAAAGAAAACTGAAATACGTGTGTAAAATATAAAGTCTAGGATTATTGTAATAATATTTTATCCAAAGTTCTAAGAAGTGTTCTTTGATTTGTAATATGATTATGTTTCTAATGCTTTTTTACTTAAAATAAAACTTTTTTAATGAAAGTGTTATGCTTGTTTAATACGGTACGGTCCTGACTACGATAAGCAGAACACGCTCCGAAAATCGAGAGATATCGAGCGTCAAAAGCGAAAGAGAAGTAGTAGAAAACAAAGAAGTGAAGTGGAATAAGAGTAAGAAGCACCAAGAAGTGTAAGGACAGCAATTATTAGGGAAAGTGTGGAATCAAAAGAACCTAACCTCCGAAGAGATAGTCTGGGTGACAGTTCTTATCGCGGCACGAAGTAAACAACACAGGAACGTACTAGATACACAGGAAGCAAGAAAGTCGGCCAGGGAATGCTAAACGGGAATCCTGAACTGGAAAAAGGACACAAACTAGCAATAGAAGAACAAGACAACCAGAAACGAAAAAGAGAAACCTCCTTTTCACCATCACCGGAAGGTCAAAGAGTACAGAGGAAGCAGAAGAGGGTACAAGCAGGAGACATGGACGAAGTAAAGGATATGTTCAAAACGTTAATGGAAGAAATCGCAGAAATGAAAAGAGACCAAAGAGCATACCAAACAGAAGTAACAACACTAAGAGAAGAAAACCAAAGACTGACCGAAAGATTAGAAAGAGTGGAGCAACACTTGGAAAAACTGGAAAAAGCAGAAAGGAGAAACAACATCGTAATCAAAGGAGGGAAACTACCAGGAAGCGAAATAACAGCAGAGGTTGAAGAACTCCTAAAAAATAAGGTAGGAATCCAAACTAAGATACAAGACGCAAGATTAGTCAGCGAAAAATACGACATAGTAGTAGCAAAGATAGAGAACTGGGACACAAAAAGAGCAATCATGAAACAGAAGAACAAATTAAAAGGATCAAAAACGTTTATTGAAAACGATTACACCAAACAAGAGAGCGAAATACAGAAGAAAATAAGAGGAATAGCAGCAGCAGAAAAAGGGAAAGGAGTCGAGGCAAAAGTAGGGTACAAAAAGATGATATGGGCAGGAGAAGTCTGGCATTGGGACACTAAATTAGACAAATTAGTGAAAGCACCGTCGCACCCCAAAGAAAATCCAAAAAACTAACAGAGGAAGAAACCACACACCGGAAAACAATGACGACGTATGCAAAGCTCATGGATGACCCGATAGGAATTACGAAGAGAAAGAAAAACCCGAAAATTAGAATAGGAACATGGAATGTTCGAGGAACATATAGCGAAGGAAAACTCAAACAAATAGTTCAAGAATTACAAAGGTATAACATGAAACAAAAAGGCAAATTCATCACTGATATATACGACTACCGGAATGGGACTATTTGGCGCGGCCGACTTGGCGCGGCCAACTTGGCGCGGCCGACTTGGCGCGAGCCACTTTGGCGCAAAGCCAACTTGGCGCAGGGACACTTTGGCGCAAGCCATCTTGGCGCGAGCCATCTTGGCGCGAGTATATAATATAAAAAATATTTATTGCTCGTACTTTGGTTGGCACCCTGTTATTTATGCTAAGTGTAGGCACCAAATACACATTTTCATTCGCACAAATTCCAATAACTAAATGGTCCTCGGAGCAAGAAGTTTCACGTTTAGGAGTATGTTTATGATGGGATGCAGGGCGCGAAGCGCCCGTGTGTCCATTAAAAAGTCGACATTACCCCTCCCCGCGTTGGAGACTATAAAAATTATGTTATGCTAACAAGCAATTTTTGTATATTTATATCTATTTTTCTTGGTGCGAGTTCATTCGCGCCAAGATGGCTCGCGTCAAGATGGCTTGCGCCAAAATGTCCCTGCGCCAAAGTGTGCCTGCGCCAAAATGTCTCGCGCCAAGTCGGCCGCGCCAAGTGCGTTAATTGCAATCGTGTGTTTCACCCTAAATGTGTGGAACGTTTAAATATTGAAGTTTTGAATTCTGAGCAAGTTGTCTGCTGTAATGTTGATGCTGATAATAGTGAAAGTAGTGCAGTAATTAAATATCTAAATAGTGCTGCATTCTCTGATCTTGTAAGTGAAATAGTTCAACGTGAAACTCTAGATCTTAGAATAAAGATTAATGAAATAAAAGATGAATTGGAAGCTGTTAAATCATCAAATAAACATCTTATCAGGCTGCTTTCTAAAGAGAGTTGTCAAAGAGATGATGTTATAAATAAATCGGGTATCAACAATTATAATAATGCATCACTACCTTTTAGGAAATCTCATTTTCCGTATAATTTTGTTGATGAATTAAGCAAAAAAAGACAGGAATCAGAATTGAAATCTTATCTGAGGTCGAGGTTAATAGTTCTGGTAAGAAAAACTCAGCTATGAATAATAAAAAAGTACAATCCGATAAATTCGTTGATAAAGCTGGTCACGGAGTAAACACTATTGAAGATGCTTATATTTCTAAGGATAAAGTAGGCAATGAAAATGGTAACTGGCATCAACCTCGTTATCTCCGTAAGAGAAATAAGTCTTCAATCGTCACTGGTATCAAGCAGTCATCCCATCTTTT